ACACCACCACACTTCAGCCTGGGTGACAGGGTGAGACTCTGCCTCAAAAAAACATAAAATCTTCTTTCAGTTCTCCATTATAAGCAACACTGTTGGCTAGATGTGGTAGCTCACACCTGTAATCCCAGCACTTTGGGAGGCTGAGACAGGAGGAAAACTCAAGACTAAGAGTTCAAGACCAGCTTGGTCAACATAGCGAGGCCTTGTCTCTGCAGAAAAGAAAACGAAATTAGCCTGGCACGGTGGTATGTGACTGCAGTCCTTGCTACTCAGGAGACGGAGGTGGGAGGATTCTTTGAGCCTAGGAGGTTGAGGCTATGGTGAGGTATGGTCATACCACTACACCCTACCCTAGGTGACTGAGACCCTGTGTCTAAAAAAAGTAAAACAAAAATCAACATTGTTTGCAATTTTGAATTGTTATCCACAATTTTTTTTTTTTTTGAGACAAGGTCTCGTTCTTTCACCCAGGCTGGAGTGCAATGGCTCAGTCCCAACCCAGTGCAACCTCTGCCTTCTGGATTCAAATAATCCTCCCACCTCTGCCCCCAGACCAGGTGGGACTACAGGTGCCTGCTACCACACTCGGAATATTTTTGTATTTTTTGGTAGAGATGGGGTCTCATCATGTTGCCTAGGCTGGTCTTGAACCCCTGACCTCAAACAATACACCAACGTCGGCCTCCCAAAGTGCTGGAATTACAGCTTGCACCCAGCCAATCCACAACTTTTGGATATTGTCTCTGCTATAGCTAGTGCTCGACTTACGACCACGATTGGTTCCGACAGACCGGTTGTAACACGATTTGATCGTAAGTTGAGTAGGCTATATGCACACAGAGATGGTAGTGCTGCCGGAAGCTGGTCTGCATTATCGTACGCCCGGCTGGGCAACGTTTGCGCTGCCAGACGTGGAGCAGTCGTGGCTAGTGATTGTGGTCGTAAAGTCGAATGGTTGTAAGTTGCATAGGTCATAAGTCGATCAATACCTGTATATATTTACCCAAATTGTTCAAGAGAGCTGGGTTAAAAAGTAGAGCCCTGTGCCATAGCTCTAAAGATTTCCCTCTTTTCTTTTCTTTCCCTTCTCCCTCTCCCCTCCTCTCCCCTCCACTTCCCTACCCTTCCCTTCCCTTCCCTACATTTTTATTAGGCAATTGGATGCCATTAACTGCAACTAGATATGCAGGTGGAAACACTGGTTTGTGCCAAAATCTCCTCTCCATGAGGAGCCAGAATGGTATGGCTGGAGAACCTCAAGATCTAGAGAAGGGCATTTTAGGAACAGGCCTATATACAAAGGCCATGAGCTGCATGTGAACTTGGCATTCAAAGAACAGAAGGAAGATAGCATTTGAGCACTTCCAGTAATCCTCTAGGTACCTCAGAATGTCTCCCAAGAAATTGGCACCTTGCTCTGAGCTCAATTTTTTCTTGGTTGGGTTAATAATAATTTCCTTTCTTTCTTTTCTTCTCTTTTTTTTTGAGACGGAGTCTCCCTGTCACCCAGGCTGGAATGCAATGGCGCAATCTTGGCTCATTGCAACCTCCACTTTCTCCTGCCTCAGCCTCCCGAGTAGCTCGGGTTACCTGTGTCCGCCACCATGCCCAGCTAATTTTTTGTGTCTTTAGTAGAGACGGGGTTTCACCATGTTGGTCAGGCTGATCTCAAACTCTTGACCTCATGATCTGGTTAATGGTAATTTTCTACCTGTCCATATTATTGAATATCACTTGTTATGTATTCCTTATTGCTACATTCCACTGCTTGTTGGCATCTTTGCTTCATTGTCTTGGCACTTTCAAGATGGCTCAATCCCACGGCTGGCAAGGTGGTGCTGCTTGTCATATGGGAGCTCAGCTGCGGTGGTGGGTGTGAGTGGGAAGCTCCAGTTTCTCTCTCCATGGTCCTCTCCATGAAGAGCTGGAATCTTCACAGTTTGGTGGCTAGATTCCAAAAGTGAGCATTTCAAGAGAACCAGAAGGAAATTGCATTGCCTTTTATGACTTAGTTTTGGAGGTGGCATAACGTCACTAACACCATAGTTACAATTCCACCCAGATTCAAGGCAGAGAAACATAGATCTGTGAAGAGGAGTCTCATGCTCATTCTTAGAATTTCATATGGGAACCTTGAAGACATTATGCTAAGTGAAATAAGCCAGCCATTCTACTCAAATGAGGTGGCTAGAGTACTCAAATTCATGGAGACAAAAGTAGAAGATGGGCGCCAGGGGCTGGGGGGAGGAGAGAAGGAGGAGTTAGTGCTCAGTGGGTATGGAGTGTCAGTTTGGGAAGATGAAAAAGTTCTGGAGACAGCTGGCAGTGATGGTTGTACAACAATGAGAATGTGCCTAATGCCACTGAGCTATACATTTTTAAATGGTTAAAATGATACATTTTATGTTATGTGTATTTTGCCACTATGTACAAAAGGTCATATGAAATGGGAGATGCTGTCACAGCCATTTTTGGAAAAGATGAACCCCCACACACTCTTTTGGATGGTCTGTAGTAGGATGAGCACATGGATGTCTACACGGAAGCATAATATGCCCGCAGACTCAGAACTAAAATCCTCTACCCTAATAAGGAAGGCAGAAAGCCTCAGCGGAGTCAGGGGTCCAAGGTTCTCACATTGCTCAAGAGACTCATCCTCATGCCAGGTGCTTCTCCAAGATTTTTACTCCCCTTTACCATCAGCCTGGTTTCTATGACTCCTCAGAATCTCCCAGTAGTTGGTTTTTTTCCTTCCTTCCTTCCCTCCTTCCCTGCCCTCCCCCCTTCTCCTTCTCTCTCTTTCTCTCTCTGTCTTTCTTGAGGAAGAGTCTCACTCTGTTGTCCAGGCTGGAGTGTGATGGCACAATCTCAGCTCACTACAACTTTTGGCTCTTGGATTCAAGCAATCCTCCCACCTCAACCTCCCTAGTAACGAGGATTACAGGTGTGCACCTTCACACTCAGCTAATTTTTGTATTTTTAGTACAGATGGGGTTTTGCCATGTTTTGCAGGCTAGTCTTCAACTCCTAACCTCAAGTGATTTGCCTGCCTTGGCCTCCCAAAGTGCCAGAATTAGAGGCATGAGCCACTGCGCCCAACCCTGTTATTGTTTTTTAATCAGTGGGAGAGTTCATTGAAAGGGTTTACACTACCATACTGGAAGCAAAACTCCTTAAAAAATTGAATTTGTAGTTAAAAAACTTTCCCACAAAAACTTGGTCATTGAGAGGAATTGTTACCAACTTTTCCGTGTGTATATTAGTTTTCTATTGCTGTATAACAAATTACCACAAATTTAACAGTTTCAAACAATAGACATTACACATCTTGAAGTCCTATAAGTCAGAAGATCAGGCATACAGAGGGTTCTCTAGCCCAGAAATCTCACAAGGGGCCAGGATGATGGCTGATGTCTGTAACCCCAGCACTTTGGGAGGCCGAGATGGGAAGCTCATTTGAGGCATGGAATTTAAGACTAGCCTGGGCAATATAGTGAGACCTTGCCTCTACAAAGAATAATTAGCCAGGCATGGTGCTACACACCTGTAGTCACAGCTACTCAGAAGGCTGAAATAGGAGGATCACTTGAGCCCAGGAGGTCAAGGCTGCAGTGAGCTATGATTTTGCCACTGCATTCTAGCCTGGGCAACAGAATGAGCCTGTTACCAAAAAAAAAAAAAAAAAAAAATAGGTCGGGCGCAGTGGCTCATGCCTATAATCCTAGCATTCTGGGAGGCCAAGGCAGGTGGATCACTTGAGGCCAGGAGTTTTGAGACCAGCCTGCACAACAGGGCAAAACTCTATTTTTACTAAAAATACAAAAATTAGCTGGGTGTGGTGGTGCACACCTGTAATCCTAGCTACTGGGGAGGCTGAGGTGGGAGGATTGCTTGAATCCAAGAGGCAGAGGTTGCAGTGAGCTGAGATTGCACCACTGCACTCCAGCCTAAGCAATGGAGCGAGACTCTGTCTGAAAAAAGAAGTCTCACAAGGCTGCAATGAAGGTAGCAGACAGCTGGGTTGTCATCAGAGCTCAGGACCTCCTATCAAGCTTATTCAGGTATTTGGCAGAATACAGTTACTTCTGGTTGTAGGACTGAGGTACCCATTTTCTTGCTGTTGGCTGGGGTTACTGTCGGCTCCAAGAGGCCACTCTCAGGTCCTTGCTAAGTGTCCCCTTCCATCCTGGAGAACCTTCCTCCTATCCATTGCTTCTCACATTGTTAATATCCCTTGCCAGGAAAAGCCCTATCCTACTTAAGGACTCATCTGATTGGGTCAGGATAATATCCTTAGTGTAAAAAAACTGATTTGGGAGCTTAATTACCAAAATCCCTTTGTAGCAGCACACAAATTCGTGTTTGATTAACTGGGAGAGGTACGTGTGTACCAGGAGCCAGGAATCTTAGAGGCCATCTTAGAATTCGGCCTACCACAGTATGTCAGTTAGATTTCATTTGTTTGTATTTTAAGAGCTTCATTTTCTAAAGTATATAATAAGATATGGATGGTTATAACTATAGTTACAGTTTGCCTCAAAAATAATCTGGGATGAGAGTGGGATGTAGATGAAACAAGATTGATCCGTGTTGATAAGGTGGAAAACGAGTGTTCATTATTCTCCCTACTTTTGCTAATGTGTGAATTTTGGGCCAGGCGCCACTGCTCATGCCTGTAATCTCAGCACTTTGGGAGGCCAAGGCAGGAGGGACACTTGAGCTCAGGAGTTTGAGACCAGCCTGGGAAACATGGTGAAGCCCTGTTTTTTTTTAAAAAAAAAAGTCACACAAATTATTCAAGAGCATAGAATTTTTTAAACTTTCAAATATGTGTGTGTTGGTGGGTATTTTTGGGGGACAAAGTCTTTGTCTGTCACCCAGGCTGGAGTGCAGTGGTGAGATCATAGTTCACTGTAACCTTGAACTCCTGGGCTCAAGTGATTCTCCCACATCAGTCTTCCAAGTAGGTAGGATTGTAGGTATGTGCCACCACAACTGGCTAATTTTTAAATTTTATTTTTGTAGAGACAGGGTCTCACTATGTGGCCAGGGCTGGTTTTGATCTCCTGGCCCCAACAGATCCTCCCACTTCCACTTCTGAAAGTGCTGAGATTACAGACACGAGCCACGAGTGGCACCTGACCTATAATGCAAGTATAACATTAATATCTAAACCAGGTAAAGGTAGCATAAAATTACTTTAGTATTAATAATATTACTTACTTCCAACATTACTTAAGAATATACGTGCAAAAATTCTCAAAATGTTACCTTACAAAATTTGGCAATATATAACAAAGTAAATGTACATTTACCTTTGATCCAGTAATTCCTTTTTTTAAAAGAAATTTACCTTGAAGACATATCCACAATAATACAAAAATACCTAAATGCCCCTAAATATATTGACAGAAAAAAAATATATATTGTGCTATGTAGTTGTAAAAAAAGGAGAATGGCCTTTTTTACATAACAGTGAAATAGCATGCAGTCCTTCCCAGGATATATTGTTAAGTGTAAAAGCAAATTTCAAAATTGTGCACACACAATGTTACCTCTTCGTGTCAGAAAGAAGGAAAAATGAGAAAATATACATATAACTGTTCATTTTTTATAGAAAGAAACACAGGAAGGAGTAAACCACAGTCTACATGATTGATTGCCCACAGGAGGTAGGTGGGAAGGGGTGAAAGGGATTGGAATGAAGAGTGAAAGTGACACTCATGTGGGTGCACAGATTGTATTGCTTTAACTTTGAATCTGTTAATGTTTTACATACCCAAAAAACTTAATAAAGTCCATAACCATAAGGGACAAAAAACTGAAACTAAAATACAAAAGAAACAAGTGAGCTTAATTGTATATTGAATGGAAACCATAACCATGCTGAAGAAGGAAAAACTGGATTAACCCAACATTTGAGCACAATATTTATACTACATGACAAACTTTGTCAGTTTTGGACAAAAAGTCATAAACAAATATTGAACTCTAGTTCAAAGAGCTTTTGCTTTTTAAAAATTCTATGGGTTAGCAACTCCAAACCTACTTCATATTAGTGTAGGATTGAGCAAATGAGTAAATATATTGAGGATAAAGGGAGCCAGGTTTCTCACTGTTGAAGCAAGGAATCATAATATGGAAAGGGAGAAGACTAGAACAAATCCTGTTATGCTAAAATGCATTGGTATTATCCATGTGAACTATATTTTAATAAATGGATTTAGATGCATGTATATATATATACAGCTAGTGCTCGACTTACGATCATAGTCAGGACTGCAGACCGGTTGTAACACGATTTGATCGTAAGTTGAGTAGGCTATATGTATGGTTGAAATGGTGCACGCGGAGATGGTAGTGCTGCCAGAAGCTGGTCTGCACTGTCCTATGCCCAGCTGGGCAACATTTGCACTGCCAGACGTGGAGCAGTTGTGGCTAGCGATTGTTGTCGTAAAGTTGAATGGTCATAAGTTGCATAGATGGTAAGTCGATCAATACCTGTATGTGTTTCTTTTTTGGGTCAATCAACTGAAAGGTCCAAAAGCAAAGACACTCTAATACTACTGAGCACACCTAGCACCCAGATCTTGCTTTCTAAATACCATCCTCTATTAAAAGGATCCTCGGAAGCCGGACTTGTTGCTGTGCTAAGAAAGAAAGTGCTAAACAAACAGAAACAAAAATAACAAAAAAAGGTGGAGACATATCAAAAGGACATAGGAGCCAACCTGAGTATCAAAATAAATAATATTCATGGAGTAAAATAAGCATATATAAGGTCATAGTGATATAAATGAATGAATGAGAAAACTTTTCCTTATGGTAGAATACCAAGTAATAAACACAAATGGAATGACAGAGTTGGAAAATCACCGTATTGCATCCATCACAGTAATAATCTCTTCAGCCATAAGTAATCATTGGTTCTAAAAATTTGTGGGTGAAAGTTCAATGAAGAAAGGATAGCCATATTATCTCCAAGTACCCCTTTACAAATTACATATTACAAAGGCAAAAGTCACTTTGGATTGGCCTCATGAACCCTACCTTAACCAATGAACTAAACTAAGCATCATTAATAAATGGAAAAAATTGGCATCTCAACTGACATAATGCCCAAAAAAGGATGCCATATCTTTTTTTTTTTTTTTTTTTTTTTTGATGGAGTCTTGCTTTGTCACTCAGGCTGGAGTGCAGTGGCGTGATCTCAGCTCACTGTAACCTCTGCCTCCCAGGTTTAAGCAATTCTTGTGCCTCAGCCTCCTGAGTAGCTGGGATTGCAGGTGCATGCCACCACTCCCAGCTAATTATTTTGTATTTTTAGTAGAGACAGGGTTTCACCATGTTGGCCAGACTGGTCTCGAACTCCTGACCTCAGGTGATCTGCTCATCTTCTCCTCCCAAACTGCTGGGATTACAGGCATGAGCCACCACGCCTAGCCCATAACATCTTTTCTGTGGTATTCCAGTCAAACACAACTAAATCTAATTTCAAGAATACACCAGACAAACACAAATTGAGGAATATTCTAAAAACAATTTATTTTGAAAGAGAAAGAAATGCTGAGAAACCATTCCAGCTTAAAGAAGACTAAAGATACATGATAACTAAATGATCCCAGACCAGTTGACTGAGTCAAATATAGCTAAAAAGAATATTATTGGCTGGGTGCAGTGGCTCATGCCTGTAATCCTAGCACTTTGGGAGGCCAAAGTGGTTAGATCACGAGGTCAGGAGTTCAAGACCAGCCTGGCCAACATGGTGAAACCCTGTCTCTACTAAAAATACAAAAATTAGCTGGGTATGGTGGCTCATGCCTGTAATCCCAGCTACTTGGGAGGCTGAGGCAGGAGAATTGCTTGAACTGGGACCCAGGAGGCAGAGGTTGCAGTAAGCCGAGATTGCGCCACTGCACTCCAGCCTGGGATACAGAGCAAGACTCCCTCTCAAAAAAAAAAAAAAAAAAGAAAAAGAAAAAGAAAAAAAAAAAGAATATTATTGGGACAAATGGTGAAACTTGAGTATTGACTGTGGGTTAGATAGAAGTTTCCCAGCTGGACATGGTGGCTCACACCTGTAATCCCAGCACTTTGGGAGACCAAGGCGGACAGATCACGAGGTCAGGAGATCAAGACCATCCTGGCCAACATGGTGAAACCCCATCTCTACTAAAAAAACAAAAAACCAGCCAGGCGTGGTGGTGCATGCCTGTAGTCCCAGCTATTCAAGAGGCTGAGGCAGGGGAATCACTTGAACCCGGGAGACAAGAGGTTGCAGTGAGCTAAGATCGTGCCACTGCACTCCAGCCTGGCAACAGAGCAAGACTCCGTCTCAAAAAAAAAAAAAAAAAAAAAAAGTTTCCCAAGTTTTCTTTGTTCACAGTGCTTTTAGTATCTCAGTACTTTTTTTTTTTTTTTGATACGGAGTCTCACTGTGTCAACCAGGCTGGAGAGCAGTGGCATGATCTCGGCTCACTGCAACCTCCACCTTCCAGGTTCAAGGTATTCTCCTGCCTCAGCCTCCTGAGTAGCTAGGATTACAGGTGCCTGACACCACATCTGGCTAATTTCTGTATTTTTAGTAGAGACGAGGTTTTACGATGTTGGCCAGGCTGATCTTGAACCCCTGACCTCAAGTGATCCACCCACCTCGGCCTCCCAAAGTGCTGGGATTACATTCGTGAGCCACCACGCCCAGCTCTCAGTATTTTACAATGCCCCTTGGTAAAAAGAAATATCTAGGTCCAAATAGCTTATTAAGTGTTTATGCCCTAATAATTTAAGTAGCCATTTGAAAAAAAATACATGCAAATTAAAAGGAAAACAACATTTTTATTTCATTCTTAAATAATCACACTTACTAAAGGGATGTGTGCACCTGCAGGGCACATACTTCTTAAAACCTTGGAATCAGATTGGGCGAAGGCCACCCTCATTTCCTGTTCCACATTGATTTTTGCACTGTACTCACTTTTCATCACAACCAACTGGAAAACCCAGATCGAGATATGACATAGCCAAGGAATTTGGTACCATCTATTGTTGAAACTGTAAACAACCTCAAGCTAGGAGTTTTGCATAGTCTAGATTTCATTTTGCTTGCCTTGAAAATTTAGAATGCAAGATATTCCATGGATATCTCCCTGTGAATTTACTGTGGAGCTGTGAGGTAGCTCAGTGCACCGTTTGATTCAAACCACAGGATTTTATAATAGTGCAGTATAAATGCTGCATTTTCTGATTTTGATATATGGTTGCCATGTAGAGAAGAAAGTCCTTTTTCTGAGGAAACACACATTGAAGTATTTATGGACAAAGAAATCTATTGGCTGGGTGCAGTGGCTCATGCCTATAATCTCAGCTCTTTGGGAGGCTGAGGCAGGAGGATTGCTTGAACCGAGGAGTTCAGGACCAGCCTGGTCAACATAGTGAGACTCCTTCTCTAAAAAAAAAAAAAAAAAAATACATACAGTAGAAAATGTAGCTATACATATTAAAATGTCTGTGTGTGTGTGTATATATATATATATACACATATATACGTACATATACATATATATACATATGTAAATGTGTATATTATATATGTATATGTGTGTGTGTGTGTATACATATATATATATTTTTTTTTTTGACCTATTCTCCTGCCTTAGCCTCCCAAGTCACTGGGATTGCAGGCATCTGCTACCACACCCGGCTAATTTTTATATTTTTAGTAGAGATGGGGTTTCACCATGTTGGCAAGGCTGGTCTCAAACTCCTGACCTCAAGTGATCTACCTGCCTTAGAATCCCAAAGTGCTAGGATTATAGGTGTGAGCCATCGAGCTGGGCCTGTGTTTATATCTCTATCCATCGATCTATCTATCTATCTTAATCTATCTATAAAAGAAAGATGCCTACAAATAAACCTCAGACTACTCAGAAAAATGTGACTATATGTGTACATATAGACAGCACAGTGATATAGTAAATGGGACAAAATGTTAACAATTGATGAATTTGGATAAAGGGTAAACAAGATTTTTTTGCTACCATTCTTGAAACTTTTTGTGTAAAATTATTTTAAAATAGTCTTGAAAGATGAAATGCAATACTACATTTTAAGGTGTATATTCATATGTAGTAAACAATTTTAAATGCCTGGAAATTAAAGCAGCATTCAGAATTGTTGCAACTGTTTGTAGAGAGAAAAGATGTATCGGAAAAAGCTACACACAGTATCAGTGATGTTTTCTTCCTTCTATTTGAGACAAGGGCCTCACCTTCTTGCCCAGGCTGGAGTACAGTGGCATGATCACAGCTCACTTCAGCTTCAACCTCCCAGGCTCAGGTGATTCTCCCACCTCAGCCTCCTGAATAAGTGGGACTACAGGCTTGGGGCACCACATGGCTTTTTTTTTTTTTTTTTTTTAGAGAAAGGGCTCTACCAAGTTGCCCAGGCTGATCTCGAAATCCTGGGCTCAAATGATCCACTGCCCTTGGCCTTGGCCTCCCAAGGTGCTGGGATTATGGGCACGGGCTACCATGCCCAGTGGTGATATTTTATTTCTTAAACTGGCTGGGGGATACATAGCTATTCATTCCATTATACCTTATATCTTTAAGTATGTCCAAAATATTTCATACTTTTTTTTTTTTTTTTTGAGACAGAGTCTCACTCTTGTCACCCAGGCTGGAGTACAGTGTCTTGATCTCAGCTCACTGCAACCTCTGCCTCCTGGGTTCAAGCGATTCTCCTGCCTCAGCCTCTTGAATAGTTGGGACTACAGGCCGCATCACGCCTGCCTAAGTTTTGTACTTTTAGTAGAGATGGGGTTTTGCCATGTTGGCCAGGCTGGTCTCAAACTTCTGACCTCCTGGCCTCCCAAAGTGCTGGGTTTACAGGCGTGAGCCACCACGCCAGGCCCCCATATTTACTTTCTAAAAATACACATTTAAAAAATGTGTATTTTCTTAATACATAAAAAAGGTATGAGCAAATGAAAGCATGTAGCTGCTGTCTGCTGGGCGGCCACTACCCCTTCATATGCATTACCTCCTACAATCCTTACCACAACCTCATGCCTACATCATATGCCAACATTAAGTATAACTGGCTGGCTCCAGAATCCATGCTTGAACCATAGCTCTCAGGTCCATACTATGGGAAGAGCAGCTAACTCGTGCTGATTTTTATTTTTTTATATTCAAAGATGCTGGTCGGGGGGACTTGCTTGCTCTTTCAATTCCAAACTAATTTAATACATACAATAGAAAATGTAGCTATATATATTAAAATGTCAAAAGAATCAATATGGGCCGGACGTGCTCGCTCACGCCTGTAATCCCAGCATTTTGGGAGGCCGAAGCAGGCGGATCACCTGACGTCCGAAGCTCAATACCAGCCTGGCCAATAAGGAGGAAGCTTGTCTCTACTAAAAACACAAAAATTAGCTGGGTGTGGTGGCGGGCACCTCTAATTCCAGCTACTCAGGTGGCTGAGACAGGAGAATTGTTTGAGCCCCGGAAGCAGTGGTTGCAGTGAGCCAAGATTGCACTATTGCACTCCAGCCTGGGCAACAAGAGCGAAACTCCGTTTCAAGAGAAGAAAAAAAGGCATCAATATGAAAAAACAGTAATCAATTTTAATCTCTAGCATGTTTTGTTGCTTAGTCTCAACAGTACCATTCTTAATCAGTCGTTTAACAGCTACCCTATTATGGGGTCAAAGGTGAACTGTAGACTAAATTGGATGTTTAGTAATTTATTAAATCATACTGAGACGCTAGCATATGGATTCTTTTAAGCTTTAAAATTATCCAAATTCTAACCAGGACCTATTTCACATTTGTAAAGAATTTTAGAAGCTTCAGTGAATTAAGTTATATTATTTGATTATAAAAACAATGCAGCTTTCCGCGCTACCTGCCGAGGGCTCCAAGCGGCGTTGTTCTGGATTCCCGTCGTAACTTAAAGGGAAACTTTCACAATGTCCGGAGCCCTTGATGTCCTGCAAATGAAGGAGGAGGATGTCCTTAAGTTCCTGGCAGCAGGAACGCATTTAGGTGGCACCAACCTTGACTTCCAGATGGAACAGTATATCTATAAAAGGAAAAGTGATGGCATCTATATCATAAATCTGAAGAGGACCTGGGAGAAGCTTCTCCTGGCAGTTCGTGCCATTGTTGCTATTGAAAACCCTGCTGATGTCAGTGTTATATCCTCCAGGAATACTGGCCAGAGGGCCGTGCTGAAGTTTGCTGCTGCCACTGGAGCCACTCCAATTGCTGGCTGCTTTACTCCTGGAACCTTCACCAACCAGATCCAGGCAGCCTTCCGGGAGCCACGGCTGTTTGTGGTTACTGACCCAAGGGCTGACCACCAGCCTCTCACGGAGGCGTCTTATGTTAACCTACCGACCATTGCTCTGTGTAACACAGATTCTCCTCTGCGCAATGTGGACATTGCCATCCCATGCAACAACCAGGGAGCTCACTCAGTGGGTTTGATGTGGTGGATGCTGGCTCGGGAAGTTTTGCGCATGCGTGGCACCATTTACCGTGAACACCCATGGGAGGTCATGCCTGATTTCCACATCTACAGAGATCCTGAAGAGATTGAAAAAGAAGAGCAGGCTGCTGCTGAGAAGGCTGTGACCAAGGAGGAGTTTCAGGGCGAATGGACTGCTCCGGCCCCTGAGTTCACTGCCACTCAGCCTGAGGTTGCCGACTGGTCTGAAGGCGTGCAGGTGCCCTCTGTGCCCATCCAGCAGTTCCCTACTGAAGACTGGAGCACCCAGCCTGCCACGGAAGACTGGTCTGCAGCCCCCACTGCTCAGGCCACTGAATGGGTAGGAGCAACCACTGAATGGTCTTAAGCTGCTCTTGTGTGGGCTCTTAAACAACATATAAGATTCATGGAAAATAAACATCGAGTTTCTAAAAGTTGTGTTTATTTTGGTTTTTCCAGATCAGAATACCTGGGATTTCATACCAAAGTATAACAATAAATACACGTCTTGACATGAAATAAATAAATAAATAAAATAAAATAAAACAATGCAGAATAAACTTGTCTTAAAAAAAATGTTTGAAAAACACATTTTAAAATTAAAATGCCTGAAAATCTGACCTTTACTATGAACTGTTGAGTCTTTGTTCATTGCCTTCCTGTAATGCACTTCCTTGAAGATGTTTTAAGTTAGGTGAGAAAAGAGGCAATGCTACTTTTGTCTTTGTAATATACAGGGAAATTGGCAGCCATTCTTTTTCAGGGCGCTATAAACAATCATTGCCAAGTTGTATTTATCTTCAGTAACTGAAGATATTGGCTGAAAAAAAAATTACCGTTTCTGTAAGATTGACTTTTATTCAACCAGCTGCTTTTCTCATCCCCTGGAATGAGAGCAGGAAAGTGGTTATCTTAGGACTCATTATTCTTCCACTGTTACATTGTCAGCTAAAGGGAAGGCGAGAGCAGAACTCGAGGTAACGTTCGACGTGAACGCTGGGCAGCGGAGGAAACTGACGCCCCACAGCTCCAGCCCCGCACCCCGGCGGAGCGTTAGCACCTGCAGCAGGCCGAGCCTTTCTCCGACAGAGGAGTCAACAAATCCATCACAGCTCTGTAACAGGAGGGCCAAGACTGAACTAACGCTCTTGCCTTGACTCCAAATGGACAAGGCCATTTAAAAAGAAAAACGATATGAACGAGAATCAGAATCGCTTCCCGCCTTGCCCAAGGCCCTCTTCCAGAACCAGGGTTCCGACCCCCCTACTTTACTGGCTCCGGTGCCTGCCTCTTGAGGATCTCGAGCAAGGGGAACATAATATTGGACCGGCGAAACGGACCAAGGAACGAAGAAGAATCCAAGAAAAAAAAAACCACCAAACGGAACAGATACTATCCGACCTGCCCTGAATAGCCAATAGATTTCCAGCACTTGGCTGCGAAAGCAACAAACGTCTCCCGTCCAGGCGCCCCTGAAAACAAGGCCGCGCTCACCCCGAAGGGTAAACCCAGCCACCCTCCAACGCTGCCTTCCTGTCAGGGGACGCGGCCCTAGAGACCCGGTAACTGCAGCAGTGTCTCCAGGGCCTGCCGATGACGTCAGCTGCCCTGCGGTAGCATCGCGAGACTCCCGCCTCCCTCCCGCGGCTCCGAGCGCTCCCAACCGCCAGCGCCTGCTGCCAGGCAGCGGCGGGGATGGCGAGCAGCGGAGCCGAGGCAGTGACGAGAGCAGCGGGTCCGCTATTGGACAAGGAGGCCTGAGGGACGGACCAGCTGTGCACAAGGAGAGACCGAGGCGGGTTGCCCCGAGAGACCCAGGGCCATGGAGGCCAACATGCCGAAGCGAAAGGAGCCCAGCAGGTCCCTCCGCATCAAAGTCATCTCCATGGGCAACGCCGAAGTGGGGAAAGTGAGTACCGCGCGCCGGGAGGGGCGGGCCCCAGCGCAGTGGGGCGACGTGCCCATTGGCTGCAAGGGCGGCCACTCAACAGCCTGGGGCCCGGCCTCTTCTCCGCCCCCGAACAGGCCCGGATCTCTGCCGAGGGTTGCGGCTCCGCGAGCGAAACTCCCTGACCTTTTTGACCTTTGCGTTGCCCCCTCCTCCTCCGACGTCACTCTCCCGGAGAAGGTGTCTGGGGTGGCCCCTAAGCCTTGAATGTGTCCCCAAAAGAGTAAGGAGGCCTGGGTCCCCATGCGCGGCCGTTGGCCTAGGTTCCGTGCCGGCGTTCTAGGGGGCCGTCTGGGACCCGGAGGTGGAGGATGAAAGTTTAGTTCTCCTAGCTGTGCCTGGGAGCCGGCGGAACGTCATGGGGTGCGTGTGAGAATTTCGGGTTCGCGAAATGGTGCCCGGCAGCCCAGATTCTGCATTCCCGTCACGAGAGAGCGTAGTGACGCTGACGTGATTCACAGGGGAGGTTCAGTGGATGGCTGGATCTAGTGGTGTCCCCACATCTGTTAGTTCCACAGCCCTTCTCTCTACCCTGTCTATGCATCAGCTATAAACTCTCCTTCAGTGTGCAGGAGGGAAGGCCAGCGGTAACCTGAGGCCTTTTCCCATATAAATTCGAAGACAGCCTCCTCTTCACCCAAATTCTCCCCTGCTGGGCAAGTGGAAGCTGTTGGTTAAGAACTTCCCAAGGTCATCAAATCAGTGACTGAGAGACGATTAGAACCCGAGTCTTCACATTCCCACTGCAGTGCTCTTTTCCTTCCATCACTGTATGCAGTCAAAATCGACTCCGAAAGAGCTGTTAAGGCAGTGTTTAGGCCAGTGCCCAGCACCCAGGAGATGCTCAGTAAATGTTTGCTAGTGTTTTTTATTTTATGATACTACTTATGTAGCAATGTGCATGTATTAGCATAACATTCACTTGAAAGTCAATGTTTTTGAACGTCAGCTGTGTAGGTTTTTGTTTTAAGGAAAAAAATACCTCTAGGGACTGGGCGCAGTGGCTCAGGCCTGTAATCCCAGCACTTTGGGAGGCCGAGGCGGATGGATCACTTGAGGCGAGGAGTTCGAGGGTAGCATAACCAACATGGTGAAACCCCGTCTCTACTAAAAATACAAAATTAGGCTGGCATGGTGGTGCACGCCTTTAATCCCAGCTACTCGGGAGGCTGAGACAGGAAAATCCCTTAAACCGGGGAGGCAGAGGCTATAGTGAGCCGAGAGCACACCATTGCACTCCAGCCTGGGAGGCAGCATGAGACTCCATCTCAAAAAAAAAAAAAGTAATTTTACTGTGCCTAATGATGTAGCATTGGAAGAAGCTCATAATGCCTGGTGTCACCACATCTGTTTAACTTTTTCTAGTTTTATTAGCCAATGCAATTGGGCAAGACTAAGAAAATACAAAATATTAGAAAGGAGAAGGTAAAATTATTATTTGCTAATAATGTGATTGTTTACCTGGAAATCCAAAGAGAATTAACTGAAAAACTGTTAGAAACATTACAAAAATTCAATAAAACAAAATTAATACCAACAAATCAGTGACTTTATTGTGTCCAAATTATACTCATTTGGCATGTGTATTGAAAAACAATTTTAATTTACAGTAAAAACAAAAATAAAGTGCCTAGGTTTAAACTTAACATGAAATAGGTAGACTATATGAAGACAAGCTTCAGACTCTACGAAGGGACATAAATTACTTAGGCAAATGGAAAGATACACTTTTTCCTTAGGATCACGCAATATTGTATAGATGTGAATTACTCAAAATAACCTACAAACGAAATCCAATTCCAGTGAAAACATCAATAAGGGTTTTCTTTTTCAGAACATAATAAAGATTACTAAAGTCTTTATGAAAAATTAATGTGAAAACAACCAAGAAAATTGTGGGGAAAAAAAGAAATGAGGGAAGACTAACTGTATCTACCATTTTAAAATATTTTTCAGGCTGAGCGCAGTGGCTCACGCCTGTAATCCTAGCACTCTGGGACGCTGAGGCGGGCGGATTGCCTGAGCTCAGGAGTTTGAGACCAGCCTTGGCAACATGGTGAAACCCCATCTCTGCTAAAATACAAAAAGTTAGCCAGGCATGGTGGGCACCTGTAGTCCCAGCAACTCGGGAGGCTGAGGCAGGAGAATTGCTTGAACTGGAGAGGTGCAGGTTCAGTGAGCTGAGATTGCACCACTGAACTCAGCCTGGGCAACAGAGCAAGGCTCCATCTCTAAAAACTTTTTAGAGATGAAGAAAAAAGAAAAAAAAGTTTTTCACTGTGATGATGGTTTTCCAACATTCAGTTTCCACCAGAAAGGTTTTCCTTAGTGTCGGGGCTTTTTATGCATTCCCATATTGGTTTCTGTGATGTATAAAAGTAGACCTCCATCTTACAAATAGGAAACTCTGCCGTGATACCTGAGCCTTCATGTCATCACATTCTCCAGCTTGTCTTTGGTGTTGGAAGTTAAAACATGATTCTCTTTTCAAGCGTGATCTTGAGAGACTCACATGGTGTTGCTCAAGTACGTTTTGTGACAGGCAATAAAATCTTAAGAATTCTTAAGTCCAAGAAGGGACTTGTTCCTGATCTCCCTGAAGATCTCTACCCTTTAATTAAGAAGTAGTTGTTGCGCCTGGGGTGGTGGCTCACGCCTGTAATCCCAGCACTTTGGGAGGCCGAGGCAGGTGGATCGCCAGAGGTCAGGAGTTCAAGACCAGCCTGGCCAACATGGTGAAACCCCATCTCTACTAAAAATACCAAAAATTATTTGAGCGTGGTGGCACATGCCTGTAATCCTAGCTATTTAGGGGGCTGAGTCAGCAGAATTCCTTGAACCCAGGAGGCAGAGGTTGCAGTGAGCGGAGATCATGCCATTGCACTCCAGCCTGGGCAACAAGAGTGAAACTCCATCTCAAAAAAAAAAAAAAAAAAGTAGTTGTCTGAAAGCATCTTGAGATGAACAGAAAGGTTAAGGATACTAAATTCCGTCTAAGTCTGACAGAGTTGGATTGACCCTTTGGCTCAATATTGTAAGACCAAGTGAGTCCTCCCTCCCAGTTGGAAATGAGTCATCTACAGCCTCTGCCCTGGTCGTATAAATTTGTCTATGTACTCAAGCAATAACATGATAATTTAATTTAAAAATTTTTGTCATTCAAAAGTGGGCAAAGGATATGAACAGACACTTCTCAAAAGAAGACATACGTGAGGCCAACAAACATATGAAAAAATGCTCATCATCACTGGTCATCAGAGAAATGCAAATCAAAACTACACTGAGATACCATCTCACGCCGGTTAGAATGGCAATCATTAAAAAATCTGGAGACAACAGATGCTGGAGAGGATGTGGAGAAATAGGAACACTTTTGCACTGTTGGTGGGAGTGTAAATTAGTGCAACCATTGTGGAAGACAGTGTGGCGATTCCTCAAGGACCTAGAAATAGAAATTCCATTTGACCCAGCAATCCCATTACTGGGTATATATCCAAAGGATTACAAATCGTTCTACTATAAGGACACGTGTACACGAATGTTCATTGCAGCACTGTTTACAATAGCAAAGACCTGGAACCAACCCAAATGCCCATCGACGATAGACTGGATAGGGAAAATGTGGCACATATACACCATGGAATATTATGCAGCCATCAGAAACGATGAGTTTGGGTCCTTTGTAGGGACATGGATGAACCTGGAAACCATCATTCTCAGCAAACTGACAGAAGAGCAGAAGATCAAACACCACATGTTCTCACTCATAGGCGGGTGTTGAACAATGAGAACACATGGACACAGGGAGGGGAGCACTACACACTGGGGTCAGTTGGGGGGAAATAGGGGAGGGAGGGTGGTGGGTGGGAAGCTGGGGAGAGATAGCAAGGGGAGAAATGCCAGATGTAGGTGATGGGGAGGAAGGCAGCAAATCACACTGCCACGTGTGTTCCTATGCAACAATTTTGCATGTTCTTCACATGTACCCCAAAATGTAAAATGCAATAAAATAAATAAATGGGGAAAAAAAAAATTTTGTTTTCAAGCTACCAAACTTTTCTTATTGGTATTGGGAAGGAAATATGGAAACATCAGTGGAGCAGAGTAGAATCCAGAAATAAACCTAAATACATAAGGAAATTCAATTTACAACAAATGTAAAATTTTAGGAAAATAGATATCATTTAGTAAATATTGTGGGAACAACTATCTGCTATTTGGGAATAGGTTGGATTCCTATTGCATTTATTTCTCAAAAATAAATTCTAGATGAATAAAATATTTAAGTATAACCTTTTTAAAAAACTTACTATTTTGCCTTAGTTGTAAAAGTAGCACATACTTACTCATTTTAAAGGATTTGGAAAATATAGGATGATATACAGGTAAAGCATTTTAAAGTTAAAAATTAAGGAATGCCTTAGTAAATAATCCTTGACTTAAACAACAAATCAAATGACAAAGTAATTGGCAAGCAATAAAAAGGAGGGAATATTTGTATATCATGGACTAGCTATTTTAAAGTTAACTTGGGAACCATAATTTATCATTCTTAAGAGAGAAAAGCAAACTCCAGAAGTATGTACAATACTCTATGAAGTGGGTACTTTTTACTGCAAGTAGGACAAACTCAATTCAATTGATTTAATAGAATTTTTTTCTT